CACACCCACACACACTCACACAGGCACACGCACAGACTCTCTCTCTCACACACACACACACTCAGACACACACAGACTCACACACACACAGACTCACATACACACACACACACACACACACAGACAAGCACACACAGAGTCAGACACGCCACACAGACTCACACATTCACACATAGACACACATATGCCACACAGACTCACATACACACACAGACACACACACACAGAGACTCACACACAGACTCACACACACACAGACAGACTCACACACTCACACAGACTCACACACACACAGACTCATACACACACACTCACACACAAACATAGACTCACACGCACACAGACAGACTCACACACACACACAGAGACTCACACACGCACACATAGACTCTCACACATACACACAGACTCACACACAGACTCACAAACACACACACACACTCCGACACACACAGACTCACACACACACAGACTCACATACACACACAAGCACACACAGACTCAGACACGCCACACAGACTCACACACTCACACATAGACACACGTATGCCACACAGACTCACACACACACACACACACACAAACACACACATACACACACACACACACTCTCACACACACACACACACACACACACACACAGACACACTCACACTCACACATAGACACACCCAGCATGGGAGGATCCTGGGTGAGTCAGGGTTTACCCTGATCCCCACAGCAATTTGTTGATTGCTTGCTGTGGGTGAGGGGTGTCAAATTTAAATTGCGTTGTTTCTAAATTACAGCAACAGCCCATTCGGCCCCGTGGTCTATGCTAGTGTTTCTGCTCCTCATGAGCTTCCTTCTGTCCCACTTTCATCTCTCCCGATCGACACAACTTCTATTCTTCCTCATGCATTTATCTATCTTCCCCTTAAATCTATTAGCGCTATCCAGCACAGTTAGTGTCTGTGGGAGTGAGTTCCACATTCTAACCATTCCCTGAGTAAGAAAGGTTTCCTCTGAATTTCCTAGTGAATTTATTTGTGAATATCCGCTGTTTATGGGTTTGGGGAGGAGGTCGGGGAGGTGGTTCTAATACGTTTTTGGACACCCCACAAATGGAATTGTGTTCCCCATGTCTATCCTACACAATTTGTAGAATCATGAGACAGAAATTTTGCCGTATAGGGTGTGGAGTGTGTTCCTCTTAATTGACCAGCTCCGAGAATTCCAAACCATGCTCACTCTGCATTCGGAGTCAGCTTCTGTGCTAAGACAGCAGCTTTGTAAACCTCCTCACCCTCTGACACGCTGCCCTTTCGGTCTCTGAGCGATGGCCTTCTATATATTTTCAAGACGCAAAGAAATGTCTAAAATCTTTTGACAAGACAATGAACGTTGCTCGCTTTCGCCATGGCAACCACTGACAAACCGATGCTGAGGGAACTGACCTTCATGACTTTGTGCAATCAGCTTTTTTCACCTTTGTCAGCTCGTGCAGGATCAAACAAGGAGACCATTCTACCCTACTAGCCTGTACTGCCTCTTCGAATAAAACCCATTCAATTAGCCCCATTTCCTTGCTCTTTCCCGAGCAGATATTTTCCCTTCAAGTATTTATAGAATGATGGAATCCTACAATGTGGAAGCAGGCTATTCAGCCCATCGAGTCCACACTGATCCTCTGAAGAGCATCACACCCAGACCCACCCCACTGCCTTATCCCTGTAACCCTGTATTTCCCATGGCTAGTCCGCCTGACCTGCACATCCCTGTTCACTATGGGGCAGTTTAGCACAACTAATCCACCCTAATCTGCCCAGCTTTGGAGTGTTGGAGGAAACCGGAGCACCCGGAGGAAACCCATGCAAAGACACGGAGAGAACGTGCAAACTCCACGCAGACAGTCGCCTGAGGGTGGAAGCAAATCCAGGTCCCTGGCGCTGTGTGGCAGAAATGCTAACCACTGAACCACTGTGCAATCCCCAATTATCTAATTTCTTTTTTAAAATTTCCTGTTCAACCTCTTTCCAATTTCCTTTCAGGCAGAACATTCCAGATCGCAACAGTTCACTCCACTTCTGCTTCCTTCACAAGTTACCTTCAATCCCTGTTTATTGGTTACCAATGGAAACAGTTTCTCCTCACTTGTTCTGTTCATGCTCACCAAGGTTCCTCAGAAAGCACTTTCCAAACCCATGACCATTTCCATCCAGAAGGACAAGGGCAGCAAATACATGGGAACACTGTCACCTGCAAGTTCCCCTCCAAGCCACTCCTGGTTTGGAAATGTATGGCTGTTCCTTCACTGTTGCATTCCTTCAAATTCCTGAAATTCCCTCCCTAAGGGCATTAAGTGTCAACCTACAGCATATGGATTGCAGCAGTTCAAGAAGGCAGCTCCCCACCACCTTCTCAAGGGGCAACAATAAATGCTGGCTCAGCCTGTGGGATCTACATCCCTTGAGTGAATAGATTTTAAAAAAGCCCCCAACATCTCTGCTTTAAGGAGAACAATCCCAGCTTCTTCAGTTGCTTCGCAGAACTAAAGTCTCTCATCCCTGGTACCATTCCAAAACTCCTGTCTGCAACCTCTCTGAGGCCAAGATATTCATTCTAAAGTGCAGTGTCCAGGAACATCAAACAGGCAAAGATTGACACAAACTCCATATGGAACTAAAATAAAAAGCCATGCATTGCAGGTGCTGGGTATCTGATATACACGCGGTGAACGCTGGAGAAACTCAGCAGCTTTTGTGGAGAGAGAAACAGAGTCAGCATTTCCAGTCTGGTGTGACTCTCCTTTGGAACCAGTTCTGTTGACATTTCTATCTTCACAGACCTGCTGAGCTTCTCTGGCACTTTCTGTTTTTATTACAGAAAGAACTGTACAAACATTGAATATTTTCACAAAGGAATTAGACATAGTTCTTAGAATCAAAGAGATCAAAGGGAATGGGGAGAAAGCGGGAACAAGGCTCTGAGTTGGATGATCAGCCATGATCATATTGAATGGTGGAGCAGGCTCGAAAGGCCGAATGACCTACTCCTGTTCCTATTTTCAAAGTTTCTATATGCTGTGTATGGATGAGCAAAAGCCTAACTAAAAGGATCTTAAAAGAGGTAAAAGAGATAGAGAGTTCGAGGGAGGGAATTCTAGAGCTTTGAGCTTCACCTGTTGAAGGCTCCTCCACAAACCAAACATGAGAGCCTTTAATTCCAGACGATGCTGCACTGGGAGCCAATGTAATTATCGAGGTAGTTGTTACAGGGGACTTGCAATGAGTTGAGATAAACACAGGAGCATATTGCACAGAGGTTGAAGCGGTAATTCCAGATATTAATGTAACAATTTATTTTCCTAAGGCTTTGGCATGGAGGCTACCTTACTGCTGGTTGTTGGTTACTCCCACACCAGAGAAGTTGCCATCTCTTTCCTGGTGCTTGCTGTTGGATTCAGTGGATTCGCAATTTCTGGTGAGATTTCTTACATCCTGATCATCCGAATCTTGTTGCATCATTTATTGGTTCAGTTTGATGTGTCTTTCCTGTTGCAAACTGCTCTCTCATATTCTCGTCGTGGGCTGGAAGACCCATTCTCTAAGTCTGTAGGCTCGGTTTGGAATATTGGAACAGGAGCAAGCCATTCAGCCCTCCAACCTATTTCTACTTTCAGCCAGATCTGGCTCCTTTGTAACCTTTGGATCCGTGAGTTAATACATAGGATTTTAAAAATTATTTTTATGGGATTTGGGCATTGTCAATGAGGCCAACATTTGTTGTCCATCCCTGATTGTCCCTGAACTCAGTGATTTTCAAAACCGTTTCAGAGAGGAGTTAGGAGTCAACCACATTGCTGTGGATCTGGATCAAATTCCCTAAAGGACATAAAAACAAGATGGGATTTATGATAATTAATAATGTCAACATTAGATTAACACTTTTGTTCCAAATTTTTTTTTCAATTAAAATTTCATCACCAGCTGTGTGGGATTTGAGCTCAAGTCCCCAGGATATTAGCCTGGGTTTAACATTACATGACCTAGTGGTATGGAGAGGCGATGGCCCAGTGGTATTATCACTGGGCTATTAATCCAGAGACACAGATAGTGTTCTGGGGACCTGGGTTCAAATCCCACCATGGCAGCTAGTGGAATTTGAATTCAATAAAATATCTGGAATTAAGAATCTAATGAGGACTGTGAATCCATTGTTGGGGGGGGGAAACCCATCTGGTTCACTAATGCCCTTTAGGGAAGGAAACTACTATCCTGGTCTGGTCAAGATGTGACTCCAGACCCACAGCAATGTGGTTGACTCTTAACTGCTCTCTGGGCAATAAATGCTAAAAGCTGCCTGGCCAGTGATGCCCTCATCCCATGAATGAATAAAGGAAAAAAAAAATTACATTAGCTAATCCAGGGGTTCTACCACAATGTCACTGCTAAACACAGCCCAATATTAGCTTTGCTCTTCTCTGATAATCAACACAGTTACTTGGATCTCAAGTATGAAACTGGATGCAAATCCTTTTCTTGTTCTAGAACGTAGCATCAAGCACATCTGTCCTGTACACACACAACTCACATACCTCAGCAGTCTCTCCTTACAAGTGTTCCGAGTGCTTCATTAAATTAAACAATGTACCTTAACAATATTAGTAACATAACATTAACAAACACATCTTATACAGAAGGAGAAACTGGTTTTACTGGCTGGAGATTCAGTGATCAGTGGGCACAAATTTAAGGCAATTAGTTAGAGAATCAAAGGGTGAGATTTATTTTATGCAGTGAGTTGTGAACTGGAATGTGCAGCCTGAAAAGGCAGTGGAAATGGATTCGATAGTAACTTTCAAAAAGTTAAATGTTTGAAAAGACTGAATTTGCAGGGCTGTGTAAGAAGAGTAGGGATGGTGAGACGAATTGGCTAGAGTTTTTTGAGAGGCAGGAGATTCCCAGTGGGCCCATTAGCCTCCTGCTGGCCTGCATCATGGTCTGATTTTAGGCAACAAATGGGGTGCAGGCCATAACTGACCTGTGGGACAGAGCGGACAAACAATGGATTTTGAAGGATCCTCTCTGGGCATGTGGAATTGAGGACACCCTGTTCACTACTCCAGGAACACAGGCCATTCTCTACAAAGCAAGCATTCATGATTCAGGGCCCAGGGCGCAGGCTGAGAAAAGCACAGGCAAATCTACAGTCATGTGCTTGCAGGGAGAGCTGCATCATGCCCACGTTTGTTGAATCAAGATAACGTGCCTTGTAATAAACCAGGGCTACATGCTGACTGTGAAAGGGTCAGTATCCTTCCCATCCTCATGGTTGGTCAGGAATCTTTCCTGCCCTTACCAGCATTGGAAAGATTTACAAGATGATATGCCACCTGTGTTAGGAACACAAACTTCTTTAGCCATCAAGTCTTGGAGCAGGACTTGAGCTCAAAGCTCCTAGCTCAGAGACAAGGACATTACCCACTGTGCGACAGGGCCTTCCATTGGGCTGTATATGACAATGACATATCTCTGCATTCTATTCCTAACTGATCCCATTGTTATTAAATCCAGGGTTCAACGTCAATCACTTGGACATTGCCCCTCGTTATGCGAGTATCCTGATGGGGATATCCAATGGTGTGGGAACACTATCGGGAATGATTTGCCCATTAATCGTTGGAGCAATGACATCGCACAAGGTAAAACCAACATTCCCATTCCCAGTTGCTCGATGGTGTGGTGTCCTGAGCAGCACATTTAAGGAGAAATAGCAAGGCGTGAGGGAGGCTTCAGAGGAGTTTCACCCAGAGAGTGGTGAACCTGCAGGGTAGGGGAGTTCAAAACTACAGCATATTTTTAAGATGAGAGGAGAAAGATTTAAAAGGGACCAGAGGGGCAGCTTTTTCACACAGAGGGTGGTTGTATATGGAATAAACTGCCTGAGGAAGTGATAGGTGCACGTACAGTTATAACTTATAAAAGACATTTGGATTGTTACATGAATAAGAAACGTTTAGAGGGAAATGGGCCAAATGCAGGCATTTGGGACTAGTTTAGTTTGGGAAACTTGGTTGGCATGAACAAGTTGGACTGAAGGGTCTGTTTCCGTGCTGTATGACTCTATGACTCTGCCCTGAAAGCAATTGATGCCAAAACATTGAATGTTTACAAGATGGACCTAGATGTAGTTCTTGGGGCTGAGGGGATCAAAGGAAAGGGGGAGAAAGCAGGAACAGGGACTTGAGTTGGATGACCCTATCGAATGGTGGGTTGCTTATTAGTAGTGACAGACAGTTCCATGTACATTCACACATGGAGGAGGGTGCAGGCGACAACATGACAGCAACATATTGCTTTCAGTAGCATCTTGTGCTATTGATATATTAACTTAATCTTAATTTAAAAATATGACTTTCTCAGCTGATCCGTTTGGTGTGAACGACAGTACCCATTCCTATTTCACACACCATGTGGTTTTAACAAGTCTGCCTTAAACCATGAGGTAGCACTCTCCCCTCGATGTTTGAAAGTTTTGAGTTTTAAAATTATAAGATATGAGCAGAAGTAGGCCATTGAGCCCATCAATTCTGCTCTGCCATTCAATAAAATCATGATTGATTTGCTGATCTTCACCTCCACTTTCCTGCATTTTCCCCAGAAACCTTGATCTCCTTCCTGATTTAAAATCTGTCCAAGCCTTGAATACACTACCACCCCAGCCTCGACAGCCCTCTGCTGTAAAGAGGTTTCCAAGGATTTCCTACCCTCTGAGAGAAGAAATTCCTCCTCATCTCTGTCTTAACCAGGTGATCCCTTATTCTAAGATTACTCCCCCTCACCCCCAGCCCTAGACTCTCCCACAAGGGGAAACAACCTCACTGCATCTTCTCTGTCAAGCCCCCTAAGATTCTTGTATATTTTAATAAGGTCACCTCTCATTTTTCTAAATTCTATTGAGTACAGGCCCAATCTACTAAACCTCTCCTCATAAGACAATCCCTTCATACCCGGGATCAGCCTAGTGAACTTTCTCTGGGCTGCCTCCAATGCCAGTATATCTTTCCTTAGATAAGGGGCCCAAAACTGTTCACAATATTCCAGCTGTGGACTAACTAATAGGTTGTATGGTTCTAGCAAAACTCCCTGTTACTATATGCCATTCCCTTTGAATTAAAGGTCAACATTCCATTTGCCTTCCCTATTATCTGCTGAACTTGGACCCTGGCTTTCTGGTGATTCATGTACGAGGACTCCCAAACCCCTCCATGTTTTATAGCTTTCTGCAGTCTTCCTCCATTTAAATAATACTCAGCTCCTCTCTTCTTCCTGCCAAAATGCATAACCTTTACATTTCCCCACATTTCCCCATCTGCTAAGTTTTTGCCCATTCATTGAACCTTGATCTGGACAGGTTGCATGAGTCAGAAAATCAGTGGCATATGCAGTATAATTTGGATAAATGTGAGGTTATTCACTTTGGAAGCAAAAACAAGAAGGCATATTACCTGAATGGGTGTAAATTGGGAGAGGGGAGTGTGTAGTGGGATCTGGGTGTCCTTGTGCACCAGTCACTGAAGGTAAGCGTGCAGGTGCAGCAGGCTGTAAAGAAGGTAAATGGTATGTTGGCCTTCATTGCGAGAGGTTTCGAGTACAGGAGCAGAGATGTATTGTTGCAGTTATACAGGGCCTTGGTGAGACCACACCTGGAATATTGTGTGCAGTTTTGGTCTCCATTTCTGAGGATGGATGCTCTTGCTCTCGAGGGAGTGCAGTGAAGGTTTACCAGGCTGATTCCGGGGATGGCAGATCTGATGTATGTGGAGAGATTGACTAGGTTGGGATTGTTTTTGCTGGAGTTCAGACAAATGAGGGGAGATCTCATAGAGACTTATAAAATTCTAACAGGACTGGACAGGGTAGATGCAGGGAGGATGTTCCCGATGGTGGGTGTGTCCAGAACCAGGGGCCACAGTATGAGGATTTGGGGTAGACCATTTAGGACAGAGATGAGGAGACATTTCTTCACCCAGAGAGTGGTGAGCCTGTGGAATTCATTACCACAGGAAGCAGTTGATGCCAAAACATTGAATGTATTCAAGAGGCAGCTAGATATAGCACTTGAGGCGAACGGGATCAAAGGTTATGGGGAGAAAGCAGGATTAGGCTATTGAGTTGGATGATCTGTCATGAGTGTGAAGAGTGGTGGAGCAGGCTCGAAGGGCCGAATGGCCTCCTCCTGCTCCTACCTATGATTCTACATACCCCTTTGTGTCATCCTCACCGCTGACCATCCCACCCAGTTTTGTGTCATCTACAAACTTGGTTATCGAGTTTAAGGCCCACCCAGAGTTTTGAGCTGAAATCTAGGTGACACTCGCAATGCAGTTCAGAGGAAGCGCTGCACCATCAGTACAACTATCTTTTGCAACCTCCTGATGGAATGAGGCACCATCTCTACGAGATGCAAAGGTCAAAAAAGGGTAAAGACCAATAATTAACCCTTAACTAACAGAGTTAACTAACTTGATTTCATTGCTGCTGGTGGGATCCTGCCGTGTTTGAAAGATTCTCACTTTTTTCCAAGTTCATCGAAAGCCGTCACTGTTTCCTGAAATGTTTTAATTCATTGCTCTTAGACCCGCGAGGAGTGGCAGCACGTGTTTGTGATCGCCTCCGTGGTCCATTACAGCGGAGTGGTATTCTACGGAATCTTTGCCTCGGGGGAGAAGCAGGACTGGGCAGATCCTGATGAAGCAAGCGAAGACAAGTGTGGCATTATCGGCCACGATGAGCTGGCAGAGGAGACTGAACTCAACGAATACAACTACATCAGTCCGAAGAAAAAGATGTCTTATGGTGCTACTAGCCAAATCAATGGAGCTCGGAAAGAGAGCTGGAAAATGAGGAGGGGAAAAGCACATGAGGAACTGATAGATGATCAGAACAGCTATCATTGTGAGAATGGGGACTATCGAAATACATCTCAGTGATTTCATGTGATCTGGACTAAATGCTGTGACTGAATATCAATGTTCAAGGCACAGTGTGTTTTATTGGCTTATAAATGTTATATTTAACGACTTCATAAAAATTATTGGCCTTTTTTAAGATTGCCTGGTAGAAATGGCCTTCCCTCGAATTATATGGTTGGTTATTGGCAACTATAAACATTGTAAAATAAATTGGACCGGGAAGAAAGTGAGATTATGTGGAATGTGCGCACAGATACAGGCCATTCGGCCCAAATGCTTCCTGCTGGTGTTTATGACCCACATGATTCTCCTCCCACCCCAACTGCACCAACCCAATCTTCATTCATTTATACACCCTCCCCATTCATGGAATTCTGTTGTTCACCTCACCCTGTTCCTATGGGAGCGAGTTCCACATTCTCACTGCTCACTGGGTAAACATTTCTCCAAAATTCCCAATTGGAGTGACTGGATTAACGACTGTCTTTTATTGAGTTTTGGTTCTCCCGCCCCACCGCTCCCAATGAGTGGGAATGTGCGTTTTCTCCATGTTGCAAACTTGTTGAGAGACCACTTCATGGTGTGAATGACCTTGAGGAGGTCAGTGCTGTTGACAAGTCTGATGGTCCAGACAGCTAAATGAAACAGATGAACCTTGCCCATGTTAGAACCTCTTCTGAACAAGGGCTGCTTTTGTACCAGCGATGAAGAAAGTGCAGGACAAATGGGAATCTTCAGAGTGCCGATAGGTCATTACTTCACTTCAGGAATGCATTCGATAAAGTTGATAGCATGTTAAGTCATGTCACAGTTTGTATTCAGATTGGCTTACAATGCCCCTGGTCTCTGTAAACCTCATGCATTCCATTAATAATGTTAAACTGATTGAATTTTTGATGTGAGCAAATATGGATTTATTGATCTTGGTGTGATTATCAAAATAAAGAAGCAATGTTTCATCACTGCAACAATTTGGAAGTTACATGATGTGGAGAAGTGGTGATTTACATGTGATATAGTGGTAATATCACTGCCTATTGTAATACAGGGACATGGTAATAATCTCATCATTGAGAAATGGTGAAATTTCAATTTTCAATGAATAATATCTGAGATTGACCATAAAATTATCAATGATTGCCTTAATCAAGAGTGGGACATAATGTCACTGAACCAGTAACCCAGAACCTCAAGGTTATGAGATCAAATCTCACCATCGCAGATGGCGAAATTAAGGAAAATGGAATAAAATGTTAGTTTTATGGTGACCATTTAAATTGCCATAAACCTCACTTCGTTCACTAATGTCCTTTAGGAAAGGGAATCTGTCATCCTACATGTCACTCCAGACCCACGGCAAAGGGGCTGACTCTTAACTAACCTCTAAAATGGACTAGCGAGTTGCTCATTTCAAGATATGGCCAGCAATGCCCACTTCATGAAAAATATTATTTCTGTTAGTGGGAACTATTTTGAGTATTTGTTTCTTCCCATGCAGTTCAAGATGGTAGATTTATACTCTACTGATGACACTATCAGAACATTGAAGAACTGAAACCCTGCTAATGAGATCGGTCGGTCCCTGTATTAACTTCAGGATTTATTTTCTTAAATGTTGATAGCAAACCCCTTCAATGTCCTACAGCACCTTAATGCACATCACAAGAGCAAAGATCACACTGAAGGCAGAGATATTAGCACAGCTCAACAAGAGCTTCATTAAAGCAGTATGTTTTAACTCATAAAAACTGAAAGAACTGTGGATGTTGTAAATCAGAAACAAAATCAGAAATTGCTGGAAAAGCTCAGCAGTATGGCAGCAACTGTGGAGAGAAATCAGAGATAACGTCTTGGGTCGGTTCTGAGGAAGGGCCACTCAAACTGAAACGTTAACTCTGATTTCTCTCCACAAATGCTGCCAGACCTGCTGAGCTTTTCCAGCAATTTCTATTTAAATTTTAACTGATATTTCAAAGGAAGCAGAGAGGGGGAGGGGTAGAGATGCGAAAGGGGGGAATTCCAGAGTTTAGGGTCAAAGCAGCAAAAGGACCAACTGCCAATGATAGAATGATTCACAAGAGGCCAGAATTAGAGGAGCATGGGGATCTTAAAGTGTTGTAACATCAGAATCTAGAGTATTGTGTTGCAATTTTGGTCTTCTGATCTGCGGAAGGATGTTCTAGCGATGGAGGAAGTGCAACAAAAGTTTGACAGACTAATTCCTGGAATGATGTTTGAAGAGAGGCTGGATCAGTTATGACTACATTCACTGTCTCAGAAGAATGCCAGGGGAATCGCATAGAAATCTATGAAATTCTAATAGGACTAGACAGGATAAACACAGGAAGCATGTTCCCGAAGACCGGGGAGTCTGGAACCAGGGCTCACAGTCTAAGGATACAGGGTAGGCCATTTAGAACTGAGATGGGTAGAAATGTCTTCACCCAGAGAGAGGGGAGCCTGTGGAATTCTCTGCCGTAGAAAGCAGTTGAGACCAAGGCATTGAATATTTTTAAGAAGGAGTTAGATATAGTTCTTAGGGCTAAAGGGATCAAATGATATGGGAGAAAGTGGGAAAAGGGGATTGAGTTGGATGATCAGCCGTGATCATATTGAGTGGTGGAGCAGGCTTGAAGGGCCGAATGGCTTATTCTTGCTCCTATTTTCTATCTTTCCAGCATAAGTATTAGGATCAGAAATAGGCTGAAGAGCATCTTGGATTCTGCTGTTCAGTAAGATCATGAGTGAGCGCACACATTAACCGCACCTTCCTGCCAACATCCCTTGATCCCCTTGAAAATAAAATATAACTCCACACTGTTCTGTGTTGATAGTACCCAGCGAGTGAGAATCCACAGCTGCCTGAGGTAGAGAATTCATGACCTTTTGAATGAAAGAATTTCTCTTCTTCTTATTTCTAAATATTCTCCTTATCCTGAGGTTTTGGCCCTGGGGAAAGATAGTGTTGGTGGTAACAAGCTAGGAATGTGGTAGTAGTCCAGGGGACCATTCCAATGATTTGGGACACAGGTTCAATTCTCACTACAGTGGAATCTGAACTTTAATTCGTAAATCTGGAATTAGGCTCAGTAATAGTGACCATGAAACCAATGTTGATTGTCATTTAGAACGCATGTGGTTCACTCATGCCCTTGAGGGAAAGAAATCTGCCATCCTTACCTGGTCTGATCTAGAATTGCAGAATCCCTACAGTGTGGAAACAAGCTATTTGGCCCAACAAGTCCACAATGCCCCTCCAAGGGGCACCTGAGGGTGGAATCGAACCCAGGTCCATGGCACTGTGAGGCAGCAATGCTAACACTGCCGCCCACTTAGGTATACATGTAACTCCAGACCCATAGCAATGTGGTTGACTATTAACTGCTCTCTGAAAGGGCCTAACAGGCCACTCAGTTCAAGATCAATTAGGGATACGCTATAAATGCTGCCCTTGTCAGTGGGGCTTATGTCCTGTAAATGAATATGGAAATTCCCAGACTGTCCAGTCAGAGGATATAACCGTTGACCTTGTTAAACATTTCAAGAAATTTATATGTTTCAATTAGATTAGCTTCCATTGACCTAAACTCCAGAGAATGAGGCTGTACACCAGTCAGTGATGTGCAGAGGGATCTGGGTGACGCTGTA